TGATTTTTGAATAGGGATATGATGGGAAATGTGTGGTTGAAAAAGAAGAAAAAATTATTGATGTGATGGAAAATATTATTTTATTGAAAAATGTGTGGTTGAAAATGAGAATTGATTTACTATAGAATTTGAGAATAAAAAATAAACAGGCCCTTAGTCTTTATATTGATTAGGGTCGGTTCTTAAATAACGTTTGTATAATTAGCACTCAAATTAGTTTAATAAAATTTACTAATACTAAAATTGTATTTGATGAAAGAGAAGCTTAAAAGTGTAACCTCTTTTTAATCTTAGTAAAACATGTGCTAATACAAGTTTTGGAATAAGTAACGAGACAAGAGTATTAAGTACTTTATTATTTTAAAGAACAAAATTATGTCATTGTCCTAAATTTATTGAAAACAAGTTTTTTTTTTTTTTACAAGGTTGTTGAAGACAAGATTTAGTAGATGTACTGAAATGTCCAATTAGGTCGATACGTTTTTAACACGCTCATCGTATGCACATCACAACATTTTATTATTAACAATAGATAATCACATGAGAGCAAAATACAAATGAATCTATAACATGTCTCACTACAAATATCATCAAGTAAAAGAGATGGTGCCATGACGTCTAGATGCCAACGAATCTGCCACCTTGTTACCCACGCAGTAAATTAAGCCTATATTTGACTCATATTTCATACACGCTCAAATTACTTTTTGTTAAGGATTTGTCTGGTAGAAATTTTCAACAGCTTTTAAGTTAAAAAATGACTTTTTTTTTTCAACTGGTGGGTCCCACCGTGAGACCAAAAGTCAACAATGACTGCCTTATTTCCCTCTAACGGTTCAAAAAGTCATTTTTTTGGTTTAAAAAGCACTCCCGAACAGGCTCTACGTACTATTCATTTATTCATAACACACTTCTATTGATTTAAAATTTAAACGATTTGTAAATATTTTTTTCAGGCGTACTCTAACAGCAATATTCACATGACAAAGTGAATCATAAGATATTAAATGAGGCAAGTCGATTTTCGATCGAGTAATTTTAGAGGTGAGTCGTGGACAAATTGACGGGCTGGCTTGCTAGCCAGGTGAAATGGCTCTTAAGGCAGGCCCATTGGCTCGTCAAAGCAGCCACTAATTTGATAGATGGCTGCTTTTTGGCAGGTGCCATCAAATTAATTCCAGGCAACCCGCCCTCTCCCTATTAAAATTATAATTAATTTTTTTTTGCTTTCTCTTCTTATCAATTACATATTTTTCAATAAAATAATAGTGATGCTGAAGGTTGTGGTGCAAGTGGTGGTGGTAGCTACAACGATGGTGGTAAGATGGTGCAGCGATTGGTGCCGATGATGTATTGGGATGGAGTGTGGAGTCTTGTGATTAATTATTTGGGTGACTATGACTTGAATTGGTTAATTTATGTCTAGTAAGTAATATGTGATCAATAAAATAGATAAAACCGTGATCAATGAATAATGTGATCTAAAAATGTGAGATTTGTAACAAAAATTGTTATCGTGGCTCATAATTTATTAAGCTATGATTAATTATTTTTAAAATTTGTGACCATTAAATAAACTGTAACCTATAAAAGTGTGATTTTTGATCGAGAAATAATGTGCATATTAATTTGTGATCGATAAATAAATTGCAATTTATAAAATTTGTGATTATTAACTAAGAAATAATACCTGATTAATTAATTTGTGAAGATAAATAAGTTGTCACTTATAAAATTTGTAACTTGCGATTGTGACGTTTTGTAACTGTTACTAATACGTATTTGTGACAATAAAATTATATAATATTATGATATATTAAATTTTTTTATGACCTGATTTTTAAAATTTTAAAACTATTTTTTTTAATTTTAAAATTTCATCTTTCAAACGCCTTATTATTTGTATTGTTCCCCGTATACATTGTAATCATAAAGAATTGAATGAGGAGTACTGGAGAGAAAACACTCCGACTCGGGGCTCTTTATTTATCGAAAGTACACGTTCAAATTCAAATTTCAAATTTCTAAAATCTGGAAGCAGACGAAGAGAGAGAAACAATGGCGTCATCGTCGGACATGAAGGGTTTCTTCAAGCAAAAGAAGAAGACCGCCGCCGGAAAGGGTGTTGGAAAATCAAAAGCGAATAAGACGACGTCGTTTAAAAAGCCAAAGAACTCCGCCTCCGTCGGGACCGACCAAGTTCAGCCTCTGGCTCTCATCTCCCATGGTTCTCTCGATCTCCAAGGTTGAGCCTCTTTGTTTTCCTCCTTTATGAACCATATTATTTCCCGATCACGCACCGGATAGTTAATCGATGCATGCGAACAGTTTTAGGGCTAAATCTCATCATTAAGTTTGAAATGCACAAAAAATTACTTATTTTGTATTACAAGACTTGGCATGTAAAACAAATTTAGACACAATCAGTGTATGTGTTTATTTGAACTTTAATTATTATATTTTTCTTATCAAAGCATAATTATCAATTTATTGGATGATTTCCCCCGATATTTACTTTAATTATTATATTTTTCTTATCAGAGCATAATTATCAATTTATTGGATGATTTCCCCCTAAATTTAGTGTTAATACTTGTAAAAAGAACTTTAATGAAGATGTGCCAGAATTGTGTTAACTCAAACCGCCATGCTTAAAGTCACAAACAGAGTGCTTTCCCTTCATATATATTAATTAGCATAGTATTGATTTCTCAATTTCTAAGCTTGTTTGTTTTGTTATCTATTCTATTAGATGTTTTGACAATTTTGTGCTAAACAGCCATCTTGCATTATTATGATTCCAGACCTCGAACATCTTAGTTTCACTTGTTCAACAGCAGTTTTTTGATCGAAAGTTAAATGGCTACTCTAATACGACATCAAAATTTCACAGATGATTATGATAGCAACGAGGAGGTTCTGAGGCAATTCGACATGAGCCTGGCATATGGACCATGCCTTGGGATTACCAGACTGGATCGATGGGAGCGCGCTAAAGCCTTGGGCTTGAACCCTCCAAAAGACGTTGAGCGTCTCTTGAGAGCAGAAAAGGTTAATGCTCAATGCTTGTGGGATGGTCGCATTTAGGTCATGCTCTCGTTTATTCGCTGTTTGTCATTGCCTGCAGCTCTTTTAAGCTATCGTGTATCAACGTGGATGTATTTTAAGTTTTATCACTAGTTGAAATATGTGCAGCCTCTTGCTGCTCTATGATCACTCTTGTTGCTTTGCTCTGTTCAACCATTTGAATATGTTTGGCATTTATTTTACTCTCTTGACTGAAATTGCTTCAGTTGTTTCTCTTAGTGGATAAGGGCAGTATTTGTTAGGAATCAAAATTATGATTTCATATTATTTGGTCATATGTATCCCCAATTTTGCATGTGTTCCCTAGTGTTCTAGCAGTTTCCTCCATTTGATACCAGTGAGTTGAACTGTAGTTGCAGTTCTTTCCCTTTAGATCTGACCCAATCACGTTAGGCATGGTCCCTAAGAGAAGCTAGATTTTACAAGGTCTATTTGTGAAATGATTAGAGAAGCATCATGCACGAGTAAACTACTTTATGTAAATGTGGGTTTGATTGCATTTATTTTCCATGGAAAATGTCAGTTTTTCATCCAAAAATTCTATTTTGAAGTGTTTGATGGTAATTTTTTTTCCATGAAAGATATTTTCTAATTTTTTAAAATATGTCTAAATTTCCTTGTTTTTAAGGAAAACATTTTATTTGGGGGAGAATAGGTTTTTGTTTTCCATGGATAATACTTTAACCGGGATAAGATAATTGTGATTTGTGAGTGAGGATCCTATGCTTGGGGAAGATGGGTACTCGCCCCTCGGGTTTGTAGAAGGTGACTTTTCAACAATCAGCAGGCATACTGGGGAGACTGGGATTGGTTTTACGGTGGTGGTGGAAGTTTTCTTTTTTTAAAAATAATTTATTTAGGACTCGTTTGAACTTTTAAAAAAAATTTGGGAATATGATTGCAATTATTTTTTTATTTGTTTTATTTAAATATGAGAGGTATATTCGTCATTTTACAGTTTTTTAGATAAATTGGATGGGAATGACAATTTGCACAATGAAACGTGGATGGATATGTGTGTAAAAATGCAAAAAATTGAAACGTAGAGACATTTTACAAACTGAACGCCAAATGTAGGGACGTTTTATGCTAAAAACCCTCGATTATATCAAGTGCTTTGATTTTGGAACATTGGACACTAATTGGCAAAAACGTGAATCCCAGGCAAACTAACCAATGATGGAAAATTGGTGGAAAGAAAATGAATTCTAGGAAATTGTTTTGTAAGGAATTGTTAATTAAGCGTATTTGATTGGTATAATTTTTCATTCGGAAAATTTTTAAATTTTGTGTTCGTTTGGTCTTCATTTGTATCAAAATTGTTCATTAAAGTGATAATTTTTTTCCACACTTGGTTGTAAAATTTGTTTTCATTGTCAAAAAGTAAAAAAATTTTTTTTTTTTCTAAAAAATCATTTTTTAATCAAAGCTTAGTGTTCGTTTGCATCAAAATTGTCCACGAAAGTGAATTTTTTTTTTACACGTGGTTATGAAATTTGTTTCCATTACAAAAAAAAAAAAAAAACCCTGGAATCAGACTTCCCACCAAAAAGGTGGGAAATCAAATTCCTCCAAAAGTAGGAAAAATGGCGCGTGACTAAGGTTTGTGGAAAAACAATTCCCTAGAAATTTATGTTTATCAAACAATGCAAATGGATGAAAATTTTCCATTTTTCAAGGAAATTTTGTATTATCAAACATAGCCTTATATCTTATGGAACTCTGTTTTCATGTTTTCCTATTTGACAAAGGAATCAATGATTTTGCCCCTTTCGCTAAAGAAGGCTTGATCCCAGGATCATTTCCATTCTTTTTTGTTCTTTCCATCTCAGTCGAACCAACATGATCTAATGTTTAGGGTGGCTTTCTGGACAAAGTAACTGACTGAATGTTCACTTCTAATCATCTATAACAAAAACATAATGATGGATAGCCTTAATAGGTGCTTGCGAGTGTTGAGGTGCACATGGTCAATTAGCTAAAGGTAATTCAAGGTGCTATGGAACACACACATGTTTGTTTTAAGTGTCTGTTTGTGTTTTATTATAATTACGTTATAATGTATTAGTTAAGTCAAATTTTAATTTTAATCACATATTTCGTAGGATTCACAATTATTATATACTTTTTCACCAGTCTCTTTTATCACATTATAATTTCAGTAACTTACAATGAACCCCAAACAAGCTCTTGTATTCATTCAATTCTTTCTTTCAAAATTCCATTCATTACTTCAAAATTTGCTTTCAAAATTCCATTCAATTTACTTGCTTGGATTTTCATGTGTTCATTATATGGAGATTGACATGGTTTAAATTGCACATAGATGAAATATTTTGCATGTGACTCCTTGTGATTCATACGCTTAAATAGAGTATATCTATGTGAGGGGTTTTGTTTCAAATAGAGATTGGGATTGGCTTATGCCATTCCCATATCTCAACAATAGAATGAGAAGAGAAAGGACTATGTAGGTTTCAAGTTGAGTTTGTTTGATGTCTTGATTATATAAGTGGTCTATGTTTATGAGAAGTTCATGCCATGACAAGCTAACACGGATGACAAGTGGTTCAAATGTGTTTATTAAGGATTTAATGATGTCATTAAGATAAATTAAGTCTTATTGTCCTCGGCTAATTTGTTATCCATGATGGTAGCGTCACTTCAATTGATTAATAATCATGTTCCATGGATATCATGTTTTACATTAAATTTGACATCATATGAATCAATAGAATTTTGTATAGGGGAATTTACAAAAATGGCCAATGAAATGCCTGTCAATTGAAAAATGTCTAATTTTGATAATACTTGAAAAATGGTCAAATTTGATACCAAATTGTCTATTATACTCTCAATGAAAAATGAAGCAAATTTTTTTTTTTTTCAATTTGCCACAAATTTCGAGAAGAACAGGTAGCTTCCATGAGAAGCTACATTAATGCTAGCTAATACCTAATGAATTCATTAACACTAAAAAATAATTATATGTTTCCAATTCATAAGAAAATTATATAATTTCATTTCCAGATTCGAAAAATTTAATCTCATCCAAATTTGCGAGTTGATTAAG